ATGCATAACATTGCTATTTTATGGCAACCAGAAGCAATGGTGGCATGCATCTTTCATAAACACTATTTTTAAAATTAGCTTAAAAAACATTCATCAAATGGAGATATTAGCAACTAAGAAACTAAACAACTCAAATCTCGCAAATAAAGAAGCAGATTTTTTAATTCAGCATACAACATTACACATAATTACAGAAAATCTGTCAGTTCCTCTTTGGAACAGAAGCCTGACACATAAAACACCACATCCTGTATTAAAAATAAATGTGCAGTTTATTATTAATGACATGATACTACTTGTTTTCTTGAATCCTATCTGTTGCTATCTCTGAAAACTTTCCAGTCTTAGCACTAATTTCTCCATTTATAATCATTCTAACCAACATATTAACATATATATCTTATCTTAAAACCACACTAAACAAACAAAATAACACACCAACCCCCTTCAGCTACTGTCCCACTTTCTTTGTTCTCTTTCCCAGGAAAACTGCTCATACACATGTACACCTCCCCAACTTTCCAATATCATAATTTTGGTTAAGTGGGTGTTTTGGAATTAACATTATGTTGACTCCTGTAAATGCAATTCACAGCCCAGCCATGTAGTCCTATACTGTATTTACGTTCCCCTTCTACAGTCAGTGTTGTTGTTTTATTGTTTAACTATCTTTGTGCATACTTATTACCAATTTAGCCACAAATTTCACCCTAAATCTACTCTCTATATCCTCGAACACATTATATTCTAACGATCTTACCTTCTCACAACTCTGTATCTTGGAACCTTTTACTCCATTCACACTGGGACTAGGTGTTATCTACTATACCTGGAGATCAGCTGTCATTTTGGCATCACTATTCAGCATCATCCTGGTAATTCACTAGGTCTCTAGTTAAGGTACATGCCCTGTTTCTTGTAACTCAGGCCTTCACCTTTTTAGTTTACTTTTTATTCTCGTTGAGTAACTCCTTTAATAATGACCTGAAAACGGGGACATGGCAGGTAAATTTTCTGAGACCTCACAAGTCTGAAACTGTCAATAGTGTGTATGTAACCTAGAGTTCAGTTAGAACTCTAGGTTAATAATCCCAGTGATTAATAATAATCCCAGTGATTCAGGAAGTTGAGGCAGGAGGATCCCAAGTTCAAGACCAGCCTCAGCAAATTAGGCCCTAAGCAACTTAGTGAGACCCTATCTCAAAATTAAACAAACAAACAAAAAAAAGAATGAGGATGTAGCTCAGTGGTAAAGCACCCCTGGGTTCAATCCCCAATACCCCCTACCCCCCAAAAAAGAGTTTAGCTGGATACTACATGCTGGGTAAGAATAATTTTTCCTTCAGCATTTTGAAAATTCCAGTATGGTGCCAAGAAACCTAAAGTCATTCTGAGTACTAATTCTTTATATGTGTCCTATTAGTTCTTTCACCCTGGAAACCACCCTGTGTTCTAAAATTTATAGTGATGTGTCCCATTTGAATTTATTTTTATATTTCAATAGGTACTTTCTAATGAAAAATTCATGATCTCTTGTTCTGGAGTTTTCTTGAATCATTCTCTATTCTTTTTCTCCTCAATTTCCTCTATCCTGTCTTTCTGGAAATCCTATTATTTGAATGTTAGAGATCCTAGTTACTCTAATTTTATTACATCTTCTCTCCCACTTTTATCTCTTTTTCCTCTTTGCTTTAACATACCAGTTTCATTCCTCAACCTTTCCACTGAGTTTTTTTTTTTTAATTTCTAATTTCACTTCTCTTTGTTTCTATTTCATATTTCCTAGATGCAGAATCTACTTTGACCTTTCTGAAACTATTAAATGGTAGGCTTATGTTTCTCTTAATTTCACTTTCCTATCTGGTCTCCATTTCCCCCAACTTGGTATTCTCTCTTTTGTTTTGACCTTTGTCTCTCACTTAAGAGGTTTTTCTCAGATATCTAGTGATCTCTGGCCACAGGTTCGAATTTGAGGGAGGGAACACTAGAAAGATCACTCGAAGCTTTGTCTTAAGGATTCTTGACTGTGAACTTTACTTTGGAGATAGAAGTTGGACTATATCTCTGGGGGAACTCTCAATGTAATTATCTTCAGACCTTTTCTCTCAGGCCAGTTACAATGCACAGAAAAGCATATTCTCCACTCTTGCTTGAAGTGTATAAAAACCCGTTAGCCTGGGTTCTTAAATCCCCTGTTTTCAAAATCTTATTCCCATTCTCAGCTATGTTTGTTGTTTATTTTATCCTTGATAGAACATAAATATCCATAATTCTGCTAAATCACAGAAGGGGCAGTTGTCTGTTTCAGAGATAAGAGCGAGCTATGGAATACAATGTCCTCTTAAAAAGATTTGCAACGCTCAATCCTTTTTTCAGAACATTGCTTTCAATTTACAAAAATATTTTGAGGTTTTATTCTGCCAAGAAGTTTGTTTCTCAGCTTTCCCATAGCTGCTTACGACTCTTAAGTTCTGCAGGAAAATAACTACACTTCCTTTTGCTTTTCAGGTTTTGACATTTTGTTGCCATTGTTTTCTTTCCTATTCTCCTTATCCTGTGAGGCTACATTATTTGGGAAATCCTTTTACATTATTTACTTTCAATGAAGTTTCAAAAACAGGTGAAGTTTAATCATATTGTTTGCCATCTCAAAGTGGAGATTTCCCATTCTTGCTCTTCATGGACTTTCATTCCTACCCCTCTGATGAGATTACTCACTCTTCATCAGAAACATTCATAGTGCCAAATCTAATTGCTGTTTTACTGTACTCACCATTTGACCTCTTGGTAGCTGTGATTTATTAAATATTTTCTCTTTTTGGTTTCTGGGACAGAACATTTTCCTGTTTTCCCATTCATTTTAATGTCTGCTCCTTCTCCTACAATTAATATTGGCACAAGCCAGGGTTGAATACTTCTCAATCTGCCTACACTTCCTAAATAATTTAATCTAGTCATTTGACTTTGAGTACTTCTATATGCAAATGATTTCCAAATCTATGATCTCAGACCAGATTTTCAACTGCAGTCATATATACAACACTGTATTTTGACACATGTACAGAAATGTCAAAGGCATCCAAAACACTATTTAGCCAAATCAGAACATTTGATACTCAACTGTAAATTTGCTTCTCTCCCAATTTTCTTTTCCATCTTGACCTCCATTTACTTTCCCCATCACATAACTATACTGCAGCCACATGTGCACTGTTGCTTAAGCATCCTACATTCAGTCACTTTTGTTCCCACTGCCAGTAAAGCTCTTTTCTCAGATCTGCACATGCTACCTTGTTATTCCAATCTCTACTAAAATGACTCCACTCAATACATCCTTCTTAGACTACCTAAAGGGAGCAATCATCAGTTTCTACCACATTATACATGTTAATTATCTGCACAGTACTAATCACAAAACATTTGTCTACCTCCTAGAAAGCAATCTTCATAAAAGCAGGGGTGGCTTCTGGGTGTTACCCACTGTATACTCATTATCTAAAATAATATCTGAATATAAGTAACGATAGATGTTGGCAAGTATGTGGGGTCAAAAAGTTCACTCATAGATTGCTGGCCGGACTGCAAACTGGTGCAACCACTCTGGAAAGCAGTATGGAGATTCCTCAGAAAACTTAGAATGGAACCACCATTTGACTCAGCTATCCCACTCCTCGGTATATACCCAATGGACTTAAAATCAGCATACTAGGTGTCTCAGCCACATCAATGTTTATAGCAGCTCAATTCACAATAGCTAAGCTATAGAGCCAACCTAGGTGTCCTTTAACGCATGAATGAATAAAAAAAAATGTGGTATACATACACAATGAAATATTACTCAGTCATAAAGAAGAATGAAATTGTGGCATTTGCCAGTAAATGGATGATCTGGAGACTATCATGTTAAGTGAAATTAGCCAATTCCAAAACACCAAAGGCCAAATGTTCTTTCTGATTTGCAGATGCTAATACACAATAAGGGGAGGAAGGAAAATAGAAGTTCATTGGATTAGACAAAGGGGAATAAAGGGAAGGGAGGGGGAATAAGAATAGGAAAGACAGTAGAATGAATCAGACATAATTTTCCTATGTTCATAAATGAATACATGACCAGTGTAACTCCACATCATGTACAACCATAAGAATGGGAGCCTAATTAGAGTAAATTATACCCCATGTTATGGTATGGATGTGAGGTGTCCCCCAAAAGCTCATGTGTGAGACAATGCAAGAAGGTTTAGAGGAGAAATGATTGGGCTGTGAGAGCCTTAACCTGATCAGTGAATTAATATCTGGATTAGATTAACTGGTAACTGAAGGTAGGTAGGGTATAGCTGGAGGAGTTAGGGCACTGGGGGCATGGCTTTGGGGTATATATTTGTATTAGGCAAGGGGAGATCTATCTTTGCTTCCTGAGCTGCTTCCCTCCGCCACACTCTTCTGCCATGATATTCAGCCTCACCTCAAGCCCCAAGGAATGCAGCCACCCTCCGACAGACTAAGAACTTTGAAACAATGAGCCCTCAAATTTTTCTTTCTCTACAATTGTTCTGATCAGTTTTTTAGTTACAGCAGTGAAAAAGATGACTAAAACACTCCATATACATATGTCAAAATATACTCTATTGGGCTGGGGTTGTAGCTCAGTAGCAGAGCATTAAGCTAGCATGTGTGAGGCACTGGATTCAATTCTCAGCACCATATATAAATAAAATAAAGATCCACTGACAACTAAAAAATAAAAATTAAAAAAATATACTCTACTGTTATATATATCTAAAAAGAACAAATAAAAATTAAGTAATATCTGAACAGAACTACACCTAACATCCATACCATAAACTACAAATATTTTTTGATAAATTAACATAAAAAGACAAATTTTTAAACAAACCCTTTCTAAAAGTAGTGTATGAAAATATTCATGGATCCTTTTATTTATTTATTTTTTACTGGAAAAATGTCATTCAGTGATGCATTATAAGATGCACCTCCTTTACCTTTGGTACTTTGGGGATCTTTTGAACTGATTCTTCAGAAAACTATAAGTTCAAGGATTTCTTCTATATGACCATCAGCCTCAAAATTCTGTTTAAACAAGAAAAAAAAAAAGGTCAGGTTTATTCAAATTATATAGATTGTTTTCATGAAAAGGGTTTTAAAACATAACAAAATTAAAACTGTTTAAAAAGTGCAAAAAATTTTTCAAGTTCTACAGATTATTTCTAAAAGGAAAAAAACCCTTAAAATCATGAATAAATAAATCATTTCAAATTCCAGAATAGAAGTTAAAAGACTAAATGTGTTAATGAATAGACAATATAAATGGATACAATTTGTGACATCCGTAAGTTAAACATAGAGTTTTTGTATGCAATATAAGTTATTAGCTTAAGATAGATCATTATGCTTTTAAAAGCCCCATGATAACCATAAAATATTGATAGTATACAAAAAAAAATGAGAATGAAAGTATAACAATACCAAAAAAAATCAATAAAATGCAAAGGAAGACAGCACAAAGGAAAAGAGGGACAACAGAGTCCTCCCTATCAGTAATAAGCTCTTCCCTATCAGTAACCACTTTTAATCTAAGGACACACATATACAGAAAGAGAAAGGATGGAACGAGATATTCCAGTCAAATAGAAACCAAAAGAAAGCATAAGTGGCTGACTTAAGTAATACAAAACAGACTTCAATTGAAAACTTTCACAACATACATAGTAGGACAATAAAACAGGCAAACTCCAGTACCAGCTACTTGGGAGGCTCAGGCAAGAGGATAGCAAGTTCGAGATCAGCCTGGGCAACTTAATGAGACCCTATCTCCAAAAAAAAAAAAAAGAGCTAGTCATGTGGCTCTCTGTTAGTTTGGCTCAGTGGTAAAGTGCCCCTGGTTTCAATCCCTAGTGCCACAAATAAGCAATTTTTAATAATAAAGAAGAACTAATGCCAATGTTACTCAAATTATTCCATGAACTAGAAAGAGAGGGCACTTTCAACTTCATTTTATGAAGCCAGCATCATCCTAATAACCCAAACAAATGAGGTCATGTCAAGGAAAGCAAACTAATGAATAATATGCCTGGTGAACATAGATGCAAAAAATCCTTATTAAAATGTTAGCAAATTGTCAAAAATACATTAAGAAGGTCATACCTCATGATCATGTAGGATTTATTCTGGAGATACAAGGATGGTTCAACATACCAATCAATAAATATATTTCATCATATAAACTCATGGGGGGGGGGGGAAATCACAGATCATCTTGACAAGATACAGAAAAGGCCTTTTAGAAAAATCAGTACCCAATCCTGATAAAAACACTGAAGAAACTAGGCATAGAAGGAACTTATCTCACATCATAAAGACTTACATATGACAAAGCCAATATCATACTAAATGGGGAAAAACTGAAATAATTTCCTTCAAATAAGAACATCCATTCTCACCACTCCTATTCAATATAGTTCCTAAAATTTTAGAGCAATTGAGCAAGGGACACAATAGGAAAGAAAGCCAAATTATCCCAGTTTGCAGATGGTATAATCCTATACTTAGAAGTTCCCAAAAGCTCTACCAGAAGACTTCTAGAACTGATAAACAAATTTAGCAAAAATAGCAGGATACAATATCTACATCCAGAGCCAGGCACAGTGGCACATGCCTGTAATCCCAGCGGCTTCGGAAGCTAAAACAGGAGGATCTTGAGTTCAAAGCCAGCCTCAACAATGGCAAGGCGCTAAGCAACTAACTCAGTGAGACCATGTCTCTAAATAAAATGCAAAATAGGGCTGGGGATGTGGCTCAGTGCTTCAACCTGAGTTCAATCCAAAAAAAAAAAAAAAAAAAAGACCCACATCCAAAAAATTGATAGGTTTTCTTCATACTAATAATGAATCCACACTGAAAAAGAAATCAAGAAAACAACTCCAATCATAACAGGTTCAAAAAGAAATTTTTTTACATTGTCTCTAACCAAGGAGGTGAAAGACCTCTATAATGAAAATTATAAAGCACTTAAGAAAGAAAACACTAGAAGATAAAAGGTCCACCCATGTTCTTACATATGCAGAATTAATGTTATTGAAATGGTCATATTACCAAAGCATCTACTGATTCAATCCAATCCCTACCCACCAAAATACCAATGATATTCTTCAGAGAAAAAGAAAAAATGGTCCTAGTGATAGCCTTTTAACAAATGGTGCTAGAGAACTGGGCATCCACAAGTAGAAGAATGAAACTAGATTCGTATCTTTTACCCTGCACCAAAATCAACCCAAAGTGTATCAAAGACCTAGAAATTAAGAGCAAAAAATTGGTAACTGCTAGAAGAAAACATAGGGTCAACATTCCAACCTACAGGCATAGGCAATGACTTCCTCAATAGGACTCCTAAAGCTCAGGAGCTATATGTAGAATTAATGTAATGCATCAAACTTAAAAGCTTTTACAGAGGAAAGGGAACGAAGTACAAAGAGGGCCTACAGAAAGGGAGAAAATCTTAACTAGCTACCCTTCTCATAGAGGATTAATATCCAGAATATATAAGAACTCAAAAAATGAAAACAAAAAAATAAAAAACACAATCAATAAATGAGCAAATGAACTGAATGACACATCTCAAATGTACAATGACTGTTTGCTTTCCCACAACTAAGATCAACATGCCCTGGAGTAGGGAGGCTTCCTGATTCCTGTTGCGACGTATGAATTATTTTCCTTTCTCCTCTCTCTAATGGCCAACAAATATATGAAAAAATTTGTTCAACATCTTTAGCAATTAGGGAAAGCAAATCAAAATTACAGTGAGATTTCATCTCGCTCCACTTAGAATGGCAAACATGAAGAATACAAATAAATACTAAATACTGAGAGGATGTGGGGATAAGAATACACCTATGTACTGTTGGTGGGACTGTAAACGGGAACAACCACTATAGAAATCAGTAAGAAGGTTTCTCAAAAGACTGGGAATGGGACCACCATATGACCCAGCTATACCACTCTTCAGTATTTATCCAAAAGAACTTAAAGCAGCATACAATAGTGATATATGTATACCCATGCTTACAGCAGCACAATTCACAATACCCAAGTGATGGAATACACCTAGGTGTTTGTCAACAGATGAATGGATAAAGACAATGTGGCATATATACAGACTATGGAGTTTTTTTCAGCATAAAGAAGAATGCAATTAGGTCATCTACAGGAAAATAGATGGAACTGGAGATCATCATGTTAAGTGAAATTAAGCCAGACTCAGAAAACCAAGGGTTGTATATCTCCTCTCATATGTGGAAGCTAGGGAGAATAAAAGGAAGAAAAAAAAAAAAACTAGGGGAAATCTCATGAAAATAGAAGGGAGATGGAACAGAGGAAGTTGACAAGGGGAAGGAAGGGTAGGAGTGAAACGGGAGGTGCTTAAGAATGAAACGGACCAAATTATACTGTTATAATGTGTGCACTTACACATCTATAGCAATGAATTCCACTATTATATATAATCACAATGCACCAATATAAAAGAAAAATAATAAAACGAAATCAGAATAATTTTTAAAAAGGTTAAAGATGGTGAGATGTGGAGATTATCCTGAATTATGTATCACATGAGAGTTAAAAGTTAAAAAACTTTCCTGGCTGTAGTCAGAGATACCAGATAGAGGAAGGGTCAAAAGATGTAAATGCTGGCTTTAAAGATGGAGGAAGGTAGCCACAAAGCTTAGGAAACTGAGCAGCTTACAAATAAGAAAGAGGAATGCAAGCCTGCCAACATCTTGAGTTGTTGCCCAGCAAAAGCCTGTTGGAATTCTGAGCTGTAGAACTGTAAATATGAATTATTGTAGGCCATTAAGTGTGTGGTAATTTGTATGGCAGAAAGAGAAAATTAAGGCCTAAAATCTGTGTCTGCTCTTAATAAATCTGCCTTTCATAGACCTCTCCCCCTTAGACATTTGCAATAATTTGCCTAAAACAAATCCTGTTTGTGCTCTATATTCTTTTTATATCAATTACCAGAAGTCTAAGACTTCCAGGTCATTCCTCCATACACTCTGTATATCCCCCACTCCACTGATGCCTGTTCCCTTCCTTCCCCATTTCCAAAATCATTTCTCTATGTCCTCTGAAACTTACAGTATTTCATCATCAAAATGTCCTGTTTCCTCAATAATGTTCCTCATTTTTATAACACCAAATGAAACCTCAGTCTCCTCTAAGGATTCTGCTCTATCTACCAAGCTTTGAAATAATGACTGTTTGCTTTTCCACAACTCAGATTCAACATGCCATGGAATAGGGAAGCTTCCTTATTCCCATTGTCATGTATGAATTATTTTCCTTTCTCCTCTCTAAAATCCCAGCTTTGAATCTACTATCCCCTTCCTCTTGTAGCTATTCACAAATTCCCAGGACAAGTCCTCTCATTCCCTAAAGAGTATTACCCTTCTCAATTTTCATCGAATATAAAATAATTCAGTTCCCTGAACTCTTGTGCAACAATTTTGTGCTCCTTCTATCTCCCACTCACTCCACTATTATTCTGGAAGTCACCATTACCAATAATGATCCACCCTGCCCACCTATATTCTCTATGTCAAGTACCTTATCCCTTTCTCTTATAAGCTAGGATAACATGTGATCCCTGATGCAAGCAGACAAAAACATACCTTTTTTAAAAAACTGGCAACATAGCTCTAATTTATTTATGTTAAGGTGGAGGCAGCGGAGGAGAGCAGGAGAAAGAGAAAGAGGGAGAGGAGGAGAAAGAGAAGGAGGAGGAAAAGGAAGGAGAAGAAAGAGAAAGAAGAAAGAAGAAAATTGTCCCAGCTCACAAATTTTTGCCAGTCCTTCAGTTTCACATCCTGGTAAAGACCCAAAGGAGCAAGGTAAGTTACTGGAGATTGTCAGGAAAATCAAACACAGTGGCAGTCTATGATTGGTCAAGTTGTTCAACAACCTCTATCAGAAATGCTTCATTCTTGTTCAAATTTGTATAAGCTCTGTTCTTCCTTTTTGCTAGAGTTCTTTCCACATTTTTCATGTAGACAAGACATTTTAGGAGCTATTTATGA